ATGAGTCACTGTGATAGCTCGTTTGAGATGGTGTTATTATTTTTATTTTTTGATTATTCTATTGCTGTAATGGCTAGCATTTAAGGCAATGAGCTAGACTGGCAGTGAATCAGATCACTATTACTTCAAACATCATTTAAGAAGATCTACTTTTTATTATTTATATAGCTCCATAGTTCATGGTGCTACATAGAACAAATCAAAGACAGGTTCCCTGCCCCCTAAGAGCTTACAGTCTAGGCAAGTACAAGAACAACAGGAGGAGATAACACAAGCAGGGGACAGAGAGGGGTAGTAAATGAAAAGAAAGACAATTAGAGTACAGTCACATGAAAAGCTAGCATGTTTATCTTGGTCGATGCAAATTGGGGAGATGAGGTTCTTGAGTGATTTTATTTTTGATTAGAATTACATTTTATAGGAAAGGCAGAAGTAAAGGGTTTTGAAAATAAATTCAAAAGTGTCAGACTTGCTTGTAGGAAGGCAGAAAGGCAAGACTGGAAGGGAACAGGACACTAACATACTTGAGGTTGGAAAGTTAACAATCCTGGATGTTAGACAAGTTAAACTCAGTGACCTGTTCTCTTCCTACACATCTTTGAAAATATGACAAAAAGTCCAATTTCCTCTGTACACCTAAACACAAGCTGCTCTTATTTTGCCTTTAATATTTTATCATTACACGTTTGGCTGAGGCCTTTAATATTGTATCACTAGACATTTGGGGATGTGTTGGACAAACTCTTGATTCCTCTGAAGTAGGAATTTTGACACTGCTTTTCAGTATTTCAGTTATATTTTGTGGTTGTTGATGCATTTTGAGACTCAAAACACTTCAGAGACTATGTTAAGTTGTTCCTAAACTACTTGCTATTTTTTTAAATATCCTTTTAACAATAAACATATAAAATTATTTTATAGCATTATCTTTTAGATCTTTGCATGCTGTTATCTCTTCTCATGACCCCTTTTCCCTGAAAATGTTAAGACTTTGTAGAACATCAGGGCATTTCTACTACTTCCATCTGAGGCTTTAGATTTTGGTGAGGTTTTTTCTTCACAAATTGTGTCTTCTCCATTCTGAAATAGTAAATAGTTAGTATAGTAGTACTAAACAGTGGTTTTTTGAATTTTTTCGAAGACTCTGTGGGTGAAACCAGAAATGTGCAGAGCCTCAAGTAATATAAACATGAAAGAAAAGGTTCTTTCAAATCTACACTGAATTCTTCAACTGAAAATTGAGATAGAAACTTCAGAAAGTAATACCTCATACAAAACCTGCCAGATGCTCCCTGGATATGTTTCTATTTGTGTTTATGTAATAGGAGAATAGTATGAAATGGCTTGCTAATGTCTACATTCATCTAAATCCTCATTTACTATAAAACACTACGTTTTTCTTGATTTCATCCAACTGTTTGGCTCAGAAATTTCACTGCCAGTCCTTTGTAAATTAGACTTATCAATAAAGTAAAAGTTTGTGGGGGTTTTGTAATTTACTCTGTAATATCCGTGTAGTTATCTGTTGCTATAAAATCATGCTGAGGCAACCTGAAAATCTAACTTGTGTGTCTTGAGAATCCTTAAAGATTATAGATGTCTATCTTCCCTGACACAGATAAAGAGTTTTGTTGGGTTTTTTTTCTTAAAAAAAAAAAGCCTGCTCAGTTTTTTACTTCCAATCTTTATCCATGAGGTAGTACCACATAACTGAGTTACAACTGCTTCAAAAAGATTTCTCTGCAGTAGCATTCAAGGTCAATCAGAGAAGCACCCATCACCCTGTCCTGGGAAACCAACAGACTAATTGAACTATCACGTGAAACCACATGAAGTAGTTATGCACAGATTCTGAACTTTCATGAGCCAGACACCCACTTGATTTTAACTTGTGAAGTTCCATTGATTTTAGTGACCCTATAGAAATTACTACTACCTGAGTATTTGGAAATTTTGGACTAGCCATTCAGAGACCTTTCAATATGAGGAAGTTTTCTTCAGAACTGAAGATTTTCTTCACAACAGTGAGGGGGAAATGAGCCAATGAGCTTTCTGGAGTACAAAACTACTAGTAGTATTTTCTACTACTTTCAGGATCAACACTTTATTAGTAATTTTTCCTTAAATATCTTATTTTTCTGTGAAAAATACAGAAATAATTACTAATGCACAACAAAGTACCAGAAAGCATTACTGTATGATTTCTTTATTATTTTTTTTAAAATGTCATTAGCCTACGATAAATCTGTGGAGCCATGCATTTCTATTCTTGATCTTAAACACAAATCTTCAGTTATTGTGCATATTTCCCTTAATAATGAAAGGCTGAAATTCTCACTGAAATCTTAATTAAACCACACCACTTCTGTGTAAGGATTTTTTTTCCTTGGGGGACTTTGACCCAATAAAACATACTCTCCATTCACACTTACTTTGGCTCACATAAAGCTTAATGAGAGCTAGTTGTGTGCATCAAGGTGAGAATGGAATCCTGCTTATTTCAGCACCCTTAGTGGAGAAAAGAAAGATTTGTTTGAATATAATACACCATTTTATTACATGATTTTACAAATTTTATTGTAAATCATCAATCAAATCCAATAGCCAATTTTTTTCCATTCCAAACCATCATAATTAGGACTTTTCATTGTCTTGTACGACAGTTACTTTCTTCCCCTTAGCATTTTAAAGAATTAACTTAAACTTAAATATGTATTATGTAAGTATACTCATTTTCTGAATCTTTGCTGAAGGTATTTTTATGTTGTTTATACTTCAGACAAAGATAACTTCTTTGTTATCACATACATGGGGATGAAACTCTCACAAATATAAGAGAATTTGCTTTCTCAGTCCCTGTTCATAATGAAAATGGCCAGCTCAATCTCTATGAAGATTTATGATAACCAGGTAGCAGACACAAACCTCCCCCTTCCCCCCAAATTTCATGACATAATTTCTACAATTTGAATGATATACCTGTGCTAGAAAGATGGTAAAATTAAATTAAGTCCAAGTAAACAAATGCTTATATTACTCACCAATGACTGATTAGCTATGATAATTTTCAATGTTTTTTTAAATTAGTCAAATGAATTATGTTCCATATAAAGACTATGTTCATAACCTGTTTTGGTTGACATAACATTCCTACGTAGACCATCCTATAGTGGTGTTTTTTTTTTGAGATGCAAATAAATTTACAGTAGACAGAGGTGAAAGATTCAGCATCTGTAGGGCAATATTTCAAAATGTTATGTCCAGGAACTCACCACAGACAGGATATATAAATTAGCTTTGAAGCAGCTAAGAACCAGATCCTGCAAAATCTTATCACAATGTGCTATACTGGCTTCTCTCGGAAATCCCAGCAAACTCTTTTGCCACACACATTTAGTGGCAAGAATTGGCAGGATAGGGCACCAAACTGAGGCTAAGTACCAGTACTGACAGAAAGTACTGTACATATGTTGCTCAAATTACACAGCAAAAACAAAACAACTAAAACTGACATAGTTTTAACGCTTTTTTTTTTTTAATTTTGTGCATTGGATTCAAACAGCAAACTGAGTGCACTTTAAATGTTATCACAATGTGGTCAAGAGGTCTGTGTCTTTTACCATTTACACACAATTGTTCACGACAGCATGTTATCAGCCTAGTGGAAACCAGGGGTGTAGTATGGTAAGCAGTGGTGGTAGTGCACCTATTTTTTATATTATCTAACTTGAAAATATGTCTCTTCTAAGATTCCTTTTTCTTGATAAAAATAGTTTTCACCAAACGTTGGTGGTGCACACGCACTACCATTCATGCTTGGCATCACACCCCTGACAGAAACACATGTTCTTATTTTGTTGATAAAAAGTATTACAAAAATTTCCATACAAAAACTATTTTCATAGAAATCTTGCATTTCCACAAATAAACCTGAACATTTTTTTTTGAAAAAAAACTGCTCAAGAATTTTGTTCATTTAGTACTGTGACTGTATTGAAAAATGCAGTCCTCCTTAAAGTTATCCACATACACTTCTTTTACGTGACCCATCCCTCTCCCAACATTAGCGAGAATTGCACAGGCTCCATTGAGTTCAATTAGTAGCAGGAACAAGGCTTTCAAAACCCATTCAGGCTAAAATGCAAGCCCTCTATGTGTGAAATACACTGCTTCCCACCCCCCCTCCCTCTCTTCACAATTAAAGAAAAAAAGTAATTGCTTATATCTAAATGTTTTAAGATACATTCCTTTGTACTAAGGAAACTTTCATTCATCTAAAAATTGGGTCAAAATTATGTATTTTTTGTTGTTGTTTTATAGATCAAAGTTCCAGCCCAGGTAACTTTAAGTTACTGATTTTTTTTTTAGTTGTTATATATTGACTTAGTTCAGTGACACAGACAGTCCAAAAAGCAGGCGAGCATCATCATATTTATCGTTCTATTCATGGGATTCATGTCTCTTCACTTTAACATTTCTCCCACTCAGGAAGCTCGTATCACCTATCCAGATAGTAGTTTCAGTCTACCAGCAGTTACCAACTCTTCTGCACTTGGAAGTTCAGAAAAGCATATGGTTTCTTGTTCCACTACAGTTCTGAGACATTACTTTTACTAGACTCCTTTCGTAGTTAGTATTGTCTTGGACATTTATTCTCCATCTCCTGGCAACCGTTGAACTTCAAAAGGAACCTGTAATTTCTCACTGAGACTGCATTTGAAACCAGCCACAAAACTCACATGGAACATTCATTCATTCAGAATGGTGGAAACCCATGATGAACAGTGTAACCCCGCATAACTTGGTTGATCCATGATGCTTGTGATTCGAGTCTGGCCATTGCAACTGCTGAGATCACAGAGTCTCTAGTTCATAGACACAGCGGCATGAGGTAACTCATTTTATTTTGCACAGGTTGCATATTTCCACAGGAAACATTCTCGCAAGGTTGTTTGGAAAAAAGACGACAGTTTGTGCTTGGGGTATTTGGCTTCCCAGCTCTATGCCATGGTTTCTTTACCTGGCAACCTTCTGTCGTTAAAGGTGTGCATGTTGATAACTTCTTCTGTTTTCACAATAACGGGGGCCTGTGGCTTGTGTTTTAATCGACGCTGACACTTCAGAGACATCCTTAGCTCCTCCATCATAGCACTACAGAAGGACCTCTACAGAGGGAAATAGAGGAAAAAGAAAAAAATAACAAAAAAATATAAGAAATGTCCTGCTGCAATGTCTAGAAACAGATTCACTCTACTGGCACAGTCTTATCAGTGCTGTAAGTTTGCTTTGTCTCATCCTGAAGCTCATAAAAAATTGTCGTCTTTTAAGTATTCATCACATAATAATTAAAATGACTTACCAAGCTGCAATGACTCAGTGAAAAAATCACTTTGTTTCTACAATTATTTATCTGGCAGCTACTGACTATGGATGCATAGGATACATAAAAACATTTCAAACAGCTGTTCTGTTAACATAGGTTAGTCATACAAGATAACATCTGAATGTATATTAGATGTTCAGTAAAATCTCCTTGCCCATATTTAAAAAAAAAAAATTCATTTCTATGTGATTTAAATAGCTGTTCCTCAACAAAACAAGCCTTAATATGGGGAGTTTACCTGCAATAATGTTTAGACACTGTTAAAATACAGACCCATTACTGAAAACTGATATCTACTCTATTCTTTTTAATATCTTCTGTATTCCAACACTTCTTCTACTACTGACTCTCATGTACAGAGCCTATTATTAGAAAAACGGTATATTAACTTGTTTTCATCAAAAACTAGATCCTCAAAGCCCATTTTTTATTTAACAGTGGAAGATAATTTGAAAAGTAAAATAAAATCTCTTTTATTCCATCACTCTGAATTCTCAGCTGCTAATAGTGTGATCAGCAGCCTCTCCTTAGTGTGAGAATAGGAGTTTGGAAGAGGAATCTCAGTTTTGGGGTCTGTAAATTAACCACTTCTATCATATACTTTAACTTAGATGTTTTTCAGCTAATGAAGAAATATATTAACTAAATAACACATCCTGGAATCTGAGATGTTATGACAAGTCTCTGACAATTGCTCTCACACAGGGCAAATTTGAGGTATAGTCTAGCCCAATGCATTTTGCTTTCTTAATAACTAAACTCCAGTCAAGGGAGATTATCTAGAAAAAAAAAAAGTAATAAAAAAAAGAAAACAAAAAGATAGAGTACCCAGAATTACTGTAAATACCTCTTGATCATTGTTTGATTTTGTGTGACTAGTGGCAGATCATCAGTTAACCTGTAACTGTCTAATTTATCTCCAAAACCAAGAACTCTGCTTTACTTGTAAACTACTACATCTCCTTTATTCATACAAACCTGGAGTTTGGAGATTATATCCAGAACATATTTAAGCACCTCACCCTACTTAGTTCTTTGGGAATCTAAAAGGAAACTATGTTTATCAAAATGTGCATTCAGCTTCCAACCTCCTGAAGGCACTCTGAGCAGTAAGACTCTCACTTTTCCAGGTTAAAATTTGTAGGTTTTTCATTTGGCAATAGTCAGTAGAAATTCTGTTAAACACATTGGTGCTTGGTTTAGTTCTGGATTCCATCAAAATTCACACTCAAGTTCTCCATGTGTAAGGTTGTCAATGTCACAGGTGTCCTCTGAAAAGACCTAACAAATCAAGTTTCTCAAAAAAAAAGTGGCAACTAAAAAAGAATAACATGTGACAGACATAACTATAGTCTTCTGTGCAGCCATTCGTCAGCTGGAGCAGTAGAAGTTAATGTGAGACATATTTGAGAGTGTCAATTGACTTCTGCTGGAGGATATTTAGGCTTCAGTGCCTCAGTAAAGTCTGTCATGTAGAGGCATTACACCGTGTCAAGGTAAAAATACTTGAAGTTTTCACCTACTTGTCCTGTTCCACTTTGCATGGAAGAAATTAACAGAGGCAGAGCAGGAAAAAGGGAGAGAAGAAGAATATGGGACATTCTGCAGATCAGGTATTAGAGCACAGAGCAGCAGAGGAAAGGCTCACATGGTAGTTCCTGTTTCAGCAATGACTTCAATATTTCAATGGAAAATTCTGTTCAATGCAGAAGAGTGCAGACATGAGTTCTCTCAGTGATGGCTTAGAGCTGAATCTGAATCTCCCAAATCTTCAACAAATGTCCTCTTCTCTAATCCTTTGCATGGATAAGGGAATAGACAGGTGGGAAGGAAAGGGTAATTTTACTCTGGCTGTGATACTCTTCCTTTCGAACATTCTTTTCTCCCAATGAATTTGAAATAAAGGAATGACACCTTACTCAAGACATAAAGGGTCTCAACACCTTCAACCAAGAAAAGTTTAATCTGTGCATCCAAAGGAAAGGAAAGTGTATCTCTTTGGTGCAGTCAAGCACAAGTTCTTCAGAGGCTGAAGTTCAAGACGAAGTTTGTAATTTCCAGCTGGCACTTCTGGCTGGAGTGAATACTGCAATGGACACTCATTAGCAAACCTTTTGTAAATGTTCTGGTGCACTGGGCTGACCTCCAAGAAAGAATTTAAGGCTTCCACTGTGTGAATGAAGAGGATAGAATTTCTAACTGAATGGTATGAGCTGTAATATACCAGATTTTCATGCCTAAGTATCTATGCTTAGCATTGTGTAGAAAGCAGGGAACGGTACGTCCTTCTTATCCAGCTGTGCTTTGAAAGAAAATATTTAATTTTCTTAGATTTCCTCTTTTTCTATGAAAGTGGTGTTGCTTAACATTCAAACTGCACTTCTGATTATGAATCTGAAATTAACCCTGAAATCTTTCAAAATGGCAAGATTTAATTTAGTATTCCCTAATGGCTCAAAGGCTAAATTGCTAAGGCTTGCAGATCTTGGCATTTTCACTATGTGGAGAATCTACTACATAACTCAGGAATTTCATGGGGAATCCATTAAGAAGAAAATACTGCAACTCTCAGCATTACCACCTCCAGTCATTATATGGCTCTCACTTCAGGAATCAAAGTCCTAACTGAAAGATCAGGAGGAGCAAAATCCTAAATTTAAAAATAATGCATTAGCACTTAGCACATTAAAGACTGTGTCCGCTGCCTTTTTTTTTGCCAAGACATCTAGAATGAGTGTCAAAATAGAGTGAATCTGTTTCAAGATGCATGAATCCACCAAAACCTTTTGTAAAGGTCTGCAAACGCTTACCAAAGGGTGTAAATTTTTAGGTAATATCAGTAGGAACAGGATTACAATTGATAGCCAGGAGGAAAGAAGATACCTGGACTTGATGCCAACATTGAGAAATACCCTGAAAATTAGATCTTGGGAAACTTGCCAACAGGTTTTATCTGAGAATCTTCCCTGGATCTGAAAACTAATTAAATGAGAAATGTTGGCAAGACTGACAGTCTTAAAAGTGTAGCTAACACAATTTCGAGATAATTATTTTATTTAGAAAATTCTTCCATTCTTTGTTTCCAAGTTATTTTGTACATATTAAGTTAATGGGAACCTCTCTACATACCGTCTGTTAAAACAAATGATCTTATACTTCAGCTACTGAGATTTTAACGTATGCTCTGTATTTAAAAATATCAAATACCTGAAGACAGTAAACAGTATTAGCTCCCAGACCGTACCATTATTTTGGTAATTGAGTACTGCGTAAGAGAAATATTACATGTCTTTGGGTTTTGTTGTTCAAATTTCACTCACTGTATTTTAAAAAGTCATGGCCTGGATCCTTATTCTTCTTTGGGTTCTGAGAAATATCAGGAAGAGTTTTCCCACATATTTCAAAATCATGTTCTAAAAAGGTTACCAAAGGATTACTTTATATTTGACCCTTTTTTTTAACACAAATACTATTCTTGTCTAATTTCAGTTCCAATCTGTGTACAGTCTCCATTTTCTGTACAGTTAAACTCTGTGTTCTTTCACTGTTAGAATGTGAGTTTTGGAATAATAAGAAAAATTTTGATAACAAGCAAATGACATTTTCAGATATGATTTTAAAAAAAATATAATCCAATATCTCGATACTGAATTCAATTGACCATTCAAATTGCTATGGAAAATTAGTGAAATATTAACAGAACTTAAATCAGTTAAATTTCAAAACTGTTGTCAAAAAACCCCTACTGTCAAAAATATCTGTTTCAAAACAGGTTAAATTTCAAAACTGTTGTCCATCATGAAACCGAGCACTTTTAGTATATATTACAAGATTTTCCACTTAACTCAAAGAAAATAACCTTTTGACCCCAACTTACCTTTCACACTGCGGGCGTAAGAACATCGGTTATTATTGATTTTTCACCAGCCCTTACAAAATCGTAAGTTGTCTTCTTAAATGTTACCAGAAAGTAAATGCTGCCTCCAAGTCATCTTAGATATAATCAAATAGTGGAAGAGTAGAAAGAAGGCATAGAGTTCTCTAAACAATAGCACAGCTAAGTGCAAATTTTGTTGCAGCAAATCACTACAGAACATCAGAAAGAAAGAGCTGCCATTCTAAGTTGAGAGTTCAAGTGTACAAAAGAAAGTATTAATCAGAACTGTAATACTTAGCCTTATAACACAAAGCAATTCTGAAAAACCTCATCTTAAGAAGACTAAGGACATAGCTGATAGCTCCTTCATTGTTTTCGACAGCTGACAGCTCACAAGTCATGTAGAATCAAGGTGATAATTTTATGAAATGTTATCACTGTTTACAATGTATTTAAATAGCTTGTATATGGCTTTACTGCCTGAGGAAAAAAAAAGATATGTTTGCATGTATATATTAATTTGAAAGGAAGAAAATATTTAAACTGTTTTCATTGTATTGCTTTATAGGAATTTAGAAAGCTAATTAGAAATCATATTATCACAGAATTATCAGACTATCACCATAGATTTTGCTTTTAACAGCCTGAAAAGAGCAACAGAAAGACAGGACTGGCATGTCTGAACTACTCAGCATTGATATAAGTAAATCATATTTAGTGTGGTTTACATATAAGAATCTCCAGTCACTTGCTGTTTTAATTTTTTTCCCTCTGATGCAGTTAATAAAAAGTTGACTGTCAACATTCAATAAAAAACTGTAAAATTTACTCAAAATGGTGTCACATATTATTTGAAATCCTGTTTAATTTTCTTAAAGCAAAGTAGCAGCTGTAATTCTGCACTT